GTGCTCAGGCCACTGTGGGAATCAGGCAGTGGCGTGCAGCGTGGCAGTGGGACAGCACCCAGGCTGTGGAGGAAGGAGCCGCCACACACCGGCACGCAGGCAGCCGGACAAGGGCCGTGAGGCCGGCTCTGGAGGTGTGGGAGGAGCCGCACTCGGGCTGTGGAGCCTCTGGGAGCAGCACGAGGGCTCAGAGGCAGTGGCCCCCGAGCAACACCTTGCGTGGCTGAGACAACGCACTGTCGCAGCATTTCTCCGCAGCTCCAGGAATCAGGTCTTCTGACCCTGACCCTCACCGTAAGCCCTGCCTGCACGGTGGGCAGTGGCCAGGGCTGATGCAGACAGGCTGTGGACCCACGGCCCGATGGGCTCCCAGCCGGGGAAGGCTGGGGGTCCCAGAGCCCTACCAGGGAAGAGCAGGTAGCAAGGGGGAGCAAGGGACGCCTGTGCTCACCCGCCCCGGGGATGGACTCCCACAGACGCCAGGAATGTCTTAGTAGTGACCTGGCCTTCCCTCGCTGTCTGCAGGGCCTTCTGGTGGGTGCTGTGGGGACACAGTCCCACTCATTAGTGGGCGCCCTGGAACAGGGTGCTGGTGTACCCCTGGAAGCATTTCTTTCTGAAAATTTAGTCCAAGGCAAATAAGTTTTGGATCTTTGACACACTGCATCAAGTCCATGAGCCCTGTGATTTTGGCGTCACGGGGACGACGACACAGATAAGAAGTGACGTCCAGCCCTGGCCTGGGCAGGGTGCTGGCCCCTCCCTGTGAGCCTTGCACACACTGCGACTTCCTCTTCATCTGCTCAGGTGGGAATGGAGGTCAGTGTCGGCACCTCTCCCGCAAGCCTGCACAGCTCCACAGCTCTCAGGCCCTGGCTTTTCCAGCCTGGACAGTAGTGCCCTGAGACAGGTTCTCATGAGTGGCTTCACAAACGGCAAAGGGGTGGCGACTTGGCGGTCTTTCACCTCTAAACATTGTCCCACAAATCCCAAGGTCAAGTCCTGAGAGTACCCTCTCTGGTCAGACCGCCAGGCAGAACTCCCCGAGTCTCACTGGCCCGAAGCCTATGCCCGCAGCCTCCGGCCATGCCTAAGAGCAGGTGCCGAGGGGCCCGGTCCCCTTCCTCAGCAGAGAGAAGCCACGTGGGGAGAGGAGGCGCCCTGTGCTTCAGAACCGGAACCCTCCTCCCAGTGGCCAGGCTGTCCTCCTCAGCCACTGCCCCGAGTGAAGTGCTGGAAATCAGACAGACCCCTGCGCAGAGCACACCCGGGGATCCGCGTGCGCTGCCGTCTCCGAAGCCGTTTCACTCCCACGTAGCAAGAGGAAATTAAAATTCAGCCTCACTTTATCAGCCTCCAGCTCCCCGTTGGAATTGGTGTTTTAACTGGTGTGGCAGAAGTTTGCTACCGATTAAGAGCAGCAGGCAGTCGGGAGGAGAAGGGTCTGCACCTGGTGCTAAGTTGCTTCCAGCAGGGTGCTTCCACTTTGCGTCGTCCTGTCTCGAGCCTGGTGTCACCAGGCATAAACGCTCTCTGTGGTGACAGCCATCTCACAGGGTCTCCATGCCTCGGCCAACACGTGCGCTTTTGGGCACTAGTCTGTGGTGCTGGGCCCTGGCCCCTCACCCCCGCATGAGGCAAGGTGTGCTGTTCATCGCTCCTTTCCGTGTAGTGCACTTTTGTGTCTCAGGGAGATGGTAAGACCCTGACTCTTGTCACAGCTTAATTCACTTACTGAGAGCTGGCACAGCCACCGGATTCCATGTTGTGTCCTGACGGGAGCTGGAGTGTACTCGCTGTAACGCGTAGTCCTGCTTTCAAATGCCACCAGCTGCCCAGCTCTTCCCACGGGCAACTGTAGGTCCCTGCCAACTCCTGTCACAGTTGGCATCTGGCAAACCCTTCATCTGTGGTGCATCTTGAAATTTTAGTCAAGAGTTTCAGTGCTAGAGCTGCTTCCGGGACTTTCTGGGTCCCTCCACGCATGCAGATGTCCTGGCGGGAGGAAGGGTGCTGTGGAGGTGCCTGGCTCCTGGCCGGGGCCAGGAAGCAGGGAGTGGAGGGAGGAGACCCGCCCAGGGTCTGATCTGGCCCCAAGGCCCGATTGCATGTAGACTCCCCAGGTCCACTGACTCCCACATGTGGCTGGTAGTGGTGATGTGTGTGTGTGGAGAGGGAGAGACCCGCTGGCCATGCCCTCCCGGGGCTGCTGGCTTGGAAGAAGGAAGCGTAACAGATAGCTTTGATGACTGGGCTGGGAATCGCAGAATGAAGAAGCCCAGTATCCGGCTGGGATATTCTCGGGGCCCGTCCTTTCTGAAAGACGCCTGCCCTCTTCGGCTTTCAGAAGCCAACATGACGTCATGATCAGGCCTGCCAGCCGCACCGCGTGGACGGGCATCTTCTGAGCTTCCGTGACGAAGCTGCCCGGTTTAGAGCTGGGCTCTGTGCAGACTCTGCCCTCTGGACGTTCCATCTGCTGTCTGGAATACAGATGGTGTTTTCTCCCCTAGTGGCTTCTTATCTGTGGATCCAGGAGTCGTGCCATGGAGGATGCAGATGCCTCAGCACTTCATAGAAAGTGTCATGTTTCTGTTCTTGCTTTTGCTTTTAGTACAGGAACGGAACCCAGGCCTCACGCTTGCCAGGCAGGCCTGGGCCGCTGAGCTACGTCCTGGCCCAGTGTCCCAGTATTAAATGGCACTTGGGTCTCCGCAGCCCCCTGCCCCCCTGCCCGTACCCCCGAAATGCTAAGGAGTGCAGGCTGTCACTGTCTTTCCTCGCTGCTCGCCACCACGTTTGGGGACACTCCTGGGTGCCCCAGGGCCTGGGTGCAGAGGCTTCTGCTGAAGTGACGCGCTTCCAGTCTCCTCCCTGGACTGACTGCACTAGATGTGTCAGTAACCTATCGTGGGCAACCTGACGTTAACTTTCGCCTGCCCTTGCATGTGTTCCGCGTCTGGTCAGGGACAGTGATGTGTGTCCGCACCCCTGAGTTCTGCATAAGGGCCCTTTCTGTGCGGCTCTGCCTCCTTGCCCCTGGCAGTCACGGATCCTCTTTCTGACTCTAGCTTCGCCTTTCCAGAATGCTAGATCAAGGGAATCATTACCAGGGCACTTGCTGGAGGACAGTGAGGCCGACAGAGCTCTCGCAGAGAAGGGAAGGGGCAGCGTTCAGCTCTGAGAGCAGGGAAAGGGACGGGACAGCCGGCTGCGGGGGAGGTCACCGGGAGGCAGTGCCCTGGCCAGAGCACCCCGGGGCATGCGGGTGATGCAGGAGGGAGGGGCAGACAGTGCTGCAGCAGAGGGGGGGAGGCCTACGAGAGGAGCAGAGGAGAGGAGGGCAGGGGAGGCCTACAGGAGAGCAGAGGAGAGGAGGGCGGGGAGGCCTATCAGGAGAGCAGAGGAGAGGAGGGCGGGGAGGCCTATCAGGAGAGCAGAGGAGAGGAGGGTGGGGAGGCCTATCAGGAGCAGGATTCGGAGGAGAGGAGGGCAGGGGAGGTCTACGCAAGAGCAGAGGAGAGGAGGGCAGGAGAGGCCTACAGGAGAGCAGAGGAGAGGAGGGCAGGAGAGGCCTACAGGAGAGCAGAGGAGAGGAGGGCGGGGAGGCCTACGTGGGAGCAGGACTCAGGAGAGGAGGGCAGGAAGACATATGCGGGAGCAGGACTTAAGAGGAGACGGAGGGCAGGGGAGGCCTATGTGGGAGCAGGACTCAGAGGAGAGGAGGGCGGGGAGGCCTATCAGGAGCAGGATTCGGAGGAGAGGAGGGCAGGGGAGGTCTACACAAGAGCAGAGGAGAGGAGGGCGGGGAGGCCTACGTGGGAGCAGGACTCAGGAGAGGAGGGCAGGGGAGGCCTATGCGGGAGCAGGACTTGGAGGAGAGGAGGGCAGGGGAGGCCTACAGGAGAGCAGAGGAGAGGAGGGCAGGGGAGGCCTACAGGAGAGCAGAGGAGAGGAGGGCAGGGAGGCCTTCGTGGGAGCAGGACTCAGGAGAGGAGGGCAGGGAGGCCTACGTGGGAGCAGGACTCAGGAGAGGAGGGCAGGGGAGGCCTATGCGGGAGCAGGACTTAAGAGGAGACGGAGGGCAGGGGAGGCCTATGTGGGAGCAGGACTTGGAGGAGAGGAGGGC